TTTAAGCTACATCCATATCCTCTTATTTCTCATTGCCTGTGTTGGTCCTGGCACATCGAGGGCTGCTGTATGTAGTGCTCAGAGAAACTCAATGCTTCCCTCCAGAAAGCCTGCTCCTTAGGGAAGGCTAAATGTGACACTCTTCGATTATGTGATGTTCACACTGAAGAAACAAGTTACAGAATAACCTTTGCACTAGTCCAGGAACATACATAAATACACTTTTTCTGTTGCTTTGATTAGCAGTAGAAGTTGCTATTTGAAGCTCAGGGCAAAGATTTAAAGCCTGAAATTGTACAGGGAGAGAGAGGAGATGGCAGAACATCAGAAAATAAAATAATCAAATAAGGATTACATTCAAAACTCCAACTTCCTGACCAAATGGTGCTTCTGGGTATAGAACTACCCTATACTTCCTGAGATGAGTTAAATGCAAGCTGAACACCCCAGCTCCTGAACTGAATATATATCTATCAGCGTCAACAGTTAGCTGGGTTTGAGATCAGTCACTTTGTTCCTATGGAAAATTCTCCTATTCTCCAATGTTGAAAGTTTCCTGCAGTGTAAAATATTTATTGGTTAATTCTTCCTGGGAGCCACTCATCTTGACTTTGTTCAATGATTTGCAAAATTCAAGATTTAGGCTCATTATATTAAGAGCAGGATTCAAGTATCTTCCAAATCTCACAATGAAATCCTCTTCTGCTGCATAGTCTCGTCCTGGGCTGGATACAGGTAGACAAAACTAGTCCTTTTCACATCATCTAAGACCGATGACCATCAAAGCATTTTACCTGGGGAAAAAAAGAAAGGCCAGATTTCAAGAGAGCACACCCGATCAGTGAGACTGGGGTGCTTGAAGCCGGTGGAATTTTTTTAAGTCATTCACAAATACTATGTCTACCCTTGACAGGTCATTTCATTCTATTTAGCAATTTTTATTCTCTGTGGTTTATAAGCTCTTAAGCAAATGTAAGAGGAGGAAAAGCTAAGGTGTCTGAGAATACACTACATCAGGCTGACAGCCTTACTGAATTTCCCCTGTGGTACTAGCAAAACACCATTCCAAAAAAAAGTAATAATGCATACAGAAAAAAAAAAAAAAGAAAGAAAAAAAAAAAAAGAAAAAAAAAGGAGGGGGGGGGGGAGAAAAGGGGAAAAAAAAGATCCCAGAGATCATACCGTCACATTTAATTTCAGAGAACAAAACCTAAAGCTGATTTCTCTTTAGATCAGTTGTATACCAGTTGGAACATGGGTGCCTAGCACTGCGACTCAGTAATATGATCTGAGCTTTAAATAGCTGCCAAATAACCATGTGGTGGCTGGCAGCACTGAACGTGTTGCAATGAGAGTGATCTGTTTCAAAGTAAACCCACATAACAGAGGATAAGTCAATCTGATGTGATAGAGTAAAGGGGAGGGGGGAACGTTTTTCATTATCTTTTGGGCTTCATTCTTCCTTAAAAGTGTTTCCATCTTAGATAAGGATTCATTTGAGGTCTTTTCCTTAGCCAGTTTAAAACTTGAATTGCATGCAAGTCATTTCAGAGAATGTCTCCCTCCACAGCCGAGGCACAGGCTGGGGTCAATGATGTGCCAAATGTGAAATATCAGCATCGTGATGGCACTCAGGCCATCTCATTGCTGAAAACATGTTCAAAGTCGCTGCCTTCCAGCATGAAAGTACCTTGCATGTGTACATACTCCGCTTATTGTGTACCAGATGCATCCTTGTCCATTTTTAGGAAAGGGTAAGGAACAGATCTATAGCAAATAAGCTGGGGTGACTTCTGCTCCAAGCACTCCCCTTATCCTCACAGCAAAGCACGGAGCCTGGTAGCATGCCATGAGGTCCATCTTAGGGAAATACCAGGTGCACAGTTTGGAGGTGTCAGACAGGAGGATGCTGCCAGCCCTCCTTTCCTTCTTAACTTCATGCCAAAATGCTCTTCTGATCCCTATTGTTGATGTGTTTCCTGTATAGATGACCAACATTTTGGGCTGGAAGGACAGACTAGCAAACTGAGTAAGACACACAGATGAAAAAGTGGTGCTGCCTATACTCGTGAATTCTTCATCCCTCCTGAAACTTTAGATCATAGATAACTGCTTGTACATGACTGAGTTTAGCATCTCCATGGTCTTCAGCAGCAGGAATCCATGTTCTCTCTAAAAGTGAACGCAGCAGAATTTCAGCATACTTTACCTTGTCTTCCCTGCCTGGAAATCACACTGCTGGAAGTACAGATAGGAACAGGAGAGACAGAAGAAAACCCAGTTGTTCCATCAGAAGGTAGATAGCTCTTTTAAGAGGTTCAGTCTGACTTCTTAGTAATTAATACAATGTATGTGGCAGACAGCTAGGATTTTATATGAATGGAGACAGCAGCATAGGAACTACTTGTGAGCACTCTACTAGCAGCTTACTAGCTCGCCCCAGAGCGCAGACCCAGCTGCAGAGACATCCTGCAGAGAAACAGATCATCCTTTATTATGCATTTCCTAAAAGGCAAATATTGATTTAGCTCCCTAACATAAACATCAACAGATGACCCCACGTTTCATCAAGATCAGCTCCAGCAAAACTTCCAGCAGCCACCCCAATGAGTATCAAGGATAAACCAGGGGCACATCCTTTCCCGTCTGTTTGTGTCAGCGGCTGCCTTTGCCGCATCGTGTCAGCATGCCCCCCGGGAATCCACGACAGCTGCACAGCGGGCTGGCAGAGGGCAGTGCAGAGGGACGCTCAGCCTCCCTTCTTGCCCTCATCCCCTCGTTTTTGCTCTGCCCCTGCAGTGGGCAGTCACTGTCCTCACCAGATTTGCTCTGGATAATCAGATGATCAGATTGAAACTAATAAAAAAATATTTCTTACCTACCCATTCCTTTCACCATCACTTTTCCAGACATGTGACTTTAAAAAAAAAATCTCAGCTGATTTGATCACAGGCTGTTGAGCCAGCCAGGCAATTAAAAACAGCCCCCAAAACCAATAGGTTTGCAGGGAATAGAGTTCTTTGACCAATTTCACGGAATATTTTGATTGCAGTATCTAATCCCCTTTACAATCTTTTACCCAGCTTTAATCATGATAATCCCTGTATCATCGACAAGGAGTTTCTGGACAAAAAAAAAAAAAAAATCTGGAAGAATGCCACAGAAGGGAGTCTCCCTAGCTGGTCTGTCTTCCCACAGTTCTGACAAACTCTGGGCAGCCTGGTCTAGTGGTTGACAACTCTGCACATAGCAGGGGGATTGAAACTAGATAATCATTGTGGTCCTTTTCAACCCAGACCATTCTATGATTCTATGATTCCATGACACCCATTCCTATGCACTTAGATTTTAATGAAACCAGAAGTACAAGGGTAAGAATATACTTTCAGGTAACATTTATATGGAAATGCTTTCCTACCACCCAACACCCTGGTCTATGACAGCTACTTGTCACATGCACATCAGTGTGCTCAGTGACACCCTTGTCTTGGTGTGAGCAAGCATCCTGTCTGCACCTCTCAGAAGGAACCTCTCAGCTCTACCATTAGGAGAAGAAAATGGTATCCAATTAAAGCAAATGGATAGAGCTACAGACTAGTGCCGAAAGTATAAGTCTGAGTGAAGAATTTATGAGGACTTAAGCAATTTCTACTGACGCCAGAAAGGCTCCCTGAAGTTTCTAAGAGAACTGTCAGAAACACCTTGGATGTTCAATGGCCATTACTCCCGCAGCCTGACCCAAAGATCTGCCTCTGAGAGACGGTGTCTTGCCCATAGGAGTGTAGCTAATTTAGCTGACTAATGGAGAGAGCCCTGAAGATGCACATGGGCTGAATTAAGGGCTCCACAGGAGCCTTTGGCTCATTCCTTGCAGAGTTTATTAGTTGCTGCTGCACACATGGCTAAGTTCCTGGAAGAAGTCCAGCTCTGAGGCACTTCTCAATTCCTCCAGCTTCTAAAGCTTGCAAGAAAGTGGCTCAAGCATTTTGCCTCCTGTAAGCTCTTATGTAGAAGGCCTCTCCCCTGCAGAGAACCAGCAGGCTTCAGGAGGGGTGTGCAGCCCAATGACTCCCAATTATTGAATTTACCTCCCCAATTACTGGTGAGTGTCCTAGACTGTAAAGGGGTAAATACCAACAGACTGTATTATTTGAGAAACAGTATGTGATTGTGTAATTAAAGGCAGGTGTATAACACCATATGCAGCAGAGGAAGGGTAAATTTCAGCATTTCCTGATTAACCAAAGGCATTACGGTGTAACCCTAATGTTCTCAAGATGGCTATCATTTACGTGGAGTTCATGTATAAGTTTATGAATATTTGGTTAAAATTCACCCATCATACTCTCGGATGCAGTAATTAAAAACATCATGTTAGTAGCCTATAAAAATATTTTTGTGATTTGGTAATTATTCCAAACATCAGAGTTCCATGCTCTTCTACCCCCTGCCCTTGTTTCTTCCTGTTCTATATTGTATCAAGCTAATCTTGGTGATGGAAAAATAAATAAGTAGCAGGGGAGGCTGGAAACCTTCCAATCACAAAAGCTCCTGAAATTGAAGCAATATCCAATCTAGCTTACCACATCTTCTAGGTGGGCACTCCTTTCCTGCCTTTTAGTGATGCTTTTAGTATTCAGAACAGCTGTGGAATTAAGCATTACGAATGAGAAGAAACCAACATGCAGTCTTTATTTTTCCCCATCAGTCCCATTGAGTTATTAGGTTACAAAGTGAAAATGAACACACTCTCAGATGGATTTAATTTCAGCTTGGGCCCAATGCCAGACAAACCAAGTTTCTTCATAGTTCTCCACCCCATCTTTTCTATACCACGCATACAGTCCCATCCTTGCTCCATCTTACACCCACATATACCAAGAGCGAGCTACTTCTACAGCACGGAACCAGATTCTCCTCCCTTGCTGCCTTTGCTTGTCTTGTTGCTCTCCAAGGGATGACTAGCAGCCAGGCCAGATCTGGTTTGTAATGCAGATTTTTAATATTTAAGAAAATGTTGGCTACATAAAACATACATTTTCATACTCTGGATAGTTACCATCATAATAAATCTTTCATGTTACATCACCAGGAAAATGTTTCTGGGAGGAGCCAATTATTCCATTCAAAAATAAATCAAATACTTGATTAAAATATTAAAGCTATAATTCAAAGAACAGTTTTTGGCATAACGTTAACTAGTGATTCAGATATGGTATTTTGGCTTACAAAATCATGCAACAAACATGAAAGTATACAGCATTCAAATGCATACAGAAAGGAGAAATGAAACAGAAGCAGTTAAGCTTTTACACGGACAGACTAGCACCAAATTGCTGTTCACTGCTATTGTCTTCTCTCTTGTCCTCTTCCCATGGACTCTTCATGAACAACTGCACTCTATTTTTATAGACTGCAGATGTTTGGTTGAATCAAAACTAAGGCAAGTAGTGGAAAACAGGAGAGGAGGTAGACTTAATTACTGTGTTTGACCATTTGTTTTCCCTCCATCTTGTACCATTCTCCACAAGTGGAAGCACACGATAAATACTAAAAGACAAATGTACAAAATGTTGATTTGGCCCATTTCATATTGGGCTTTTGGTTGCAGAACATTTTTGCCTTCCTCTGGTTTGCAAAACTGCAAAAATGCTGCAAATAGTACATTATGGAGAATTATGTGTGTACTTCCTATAGAATTAAAAGCAACAAGGGGTATTAAGGGTGGTTTCTTCCTGTATTGAGTTTTGTGTCCTCTACTCTTAAACAAGTAACAGAAGAAATTCCGTAAGTGTGCCTGCATACTTAGGATTGTAATAATGGTAATGATATATAAAATTGTGTCAGGAAGTTTTATTAGGACTTCTATACTCTGTTTGGCAGTGTATGACTAGTCTGAATTTAAATAAATGGCACGCCCTACCAACAAGAACAGCATTCCTGCTAATAAAGCAAAAAATACTCCTATTGGAGCCAGCATGAAAGACCAGCCATAGCGTACATAAACAGCAAAGTCTGGGCAATCCATTTTTTTCATGTTTGTGTAGTTTTCAAGATCAGCCATCGCCTGGACCCAGATGACATACATCACGACTACCAGTGAAAACAAGACACCTGGAAAAGAAACATCCAGTTTTAACAACAGTGTGAGACAAATGCTGAGTGCATGTACTGGTTACAGTAATACCCAGAAATCCATCCATGCTTGTGGCCCCTCTGCAAGAAACAGTCAGCCACTACTGGGTATTTTTTGCCCTTGCCTTCTTCTAACAAGCTTCTTTATTCCTCTGCCTTGCTTCTGATCTGCACTGAAAGTCACAATCTCGTGGCAAAGGGTACGTTTGGTTTTGGTGTGCAGACTGTGGCACAAGCATGTCTGAGGATAAAATTCACTGCTTTGGATTCAGGAGCCAGAGAAGGTGGAAGGAGAGAAGGTGGGATGGGGTGACCTGGAAAATAAATTCTACATATGCTTCCCGTATTCTGATATTGTTTCTATCACAGTCTTTTGGATGACATATGAAAAACAGTAAGGGATAGGAAACCTTTCTATTCTCATCATCTCTCTACATTTTGCCTCTTTTTTTAACGAGAAGCACTTTGTTTGGAATATTTGGAGTATTCTTATCAAGTATTATGCAGAAATATATTCAAATATATTTCACTCAAAGTCTTCCACATTACAAAAGAAATTGCTGGTATATGAACAAAACCCAATAATAATGAAGTAACCACTATGAAGCAGGCTATTAGTATCAACTTCAGAGTGAATACAAGAGTTTCCTGGAATTAATCCACTACATAATTCACAGCCTTCTCCCAGCCACTCCTCTGAAAGGCGTTTGGATTGTATACGTGTGATAGCAATAGGAGCACATGTCCTTACAAATTTTGTTAATCTCTTTGGTACTATAAACCAGGAGGAGATTTAAGAAGAAAATGCTTTCCAAAGTATCAGTTGCATGCCTAATCTTTTATTTTAGTTTAGAGGAATGTGGACACTTAGGAAAGGCAAGCCTGAAGCACAGATGCTCCAGCAGAAGATTCACTGGAAAGCTGAGGGCACAAGTCCGAATTTTCTGCATGCTCCAGCCTGTACCCACTTGCTCTCTGAGCTTCAGCTGTCGTAGCACATGGAATAGGAACAGGGCTATCTATTCTAACATTAAAATATTAGGGGCACACCACCTATCTTTTCCTCTGATGACACTTATATACTTCATTACAACCATAAGGCAATGCAGTACCTCTGGGAACACTTACTGCCCAACCTAAATCTACAGGCTGAAGAGTAGCAGAGTACAAATCTAAGGTACTTGAGGTCTCTTCCCAGTCCTACTAAATACTAATTACAGTGCAGCCCTGAACAAATGTGACACTTTTGACAAACTCCAAAAATGCACTTTGTAAGTATCCACAAAGAGGCATTTGCCTCCAGATCCACTCATCCAGGTATTCTTTCATGGTTCCCTTATCCCCACACTGAGATGCTCCCTCATCACTGCCTTTCCCTGCCATTACTATCCACTTAATGGGAAGCAATAGGAGTTGTATCAATCTCCCATTTGCTTCAGGCAAAATCAGGCAGGTTGGCTTCTACAATTGATGATGGTGATCCGTTGACATTCTTGTTGTTGCTTTATTGTCAAAATGTAATTAGTTTACATTCTGGATGTCCTGCACATTTGACAAGTGAAAGCTCACAACTCAGTGTTTATGATCACTGCCTTTTGAAGCCCATGAAAAAAATAAGCTGAAGTAGTTAACCTGAGGCATAATCAAAACATGACTGAAAATCCCAAAGGATTTGCAAGTTTTAAGAGACTGAAAGAGAAGAGAAAAACTAAAAATAAGAAGGAAGCAGGCACATTTCCTGTCTATGAAATACAGTAATATATTTCCAGGATTACATTTTTTGCACAGGCTTGAATTCTTGACAAAGTTAAAAAAATTAACAACGAAGGGAAAAACCCAACCCTCAACACTCAAAGACATACATTCAATTTTGGAAGCATTTTACCCAAGCAAAACATTATTTTGATAGTATTTTGTGCTACAGTTGTATTAAACATACAACTGTTGAAACAATCATAAGGAGGGATCACCTCAGGGTCAGATGTAAAAATAAAAAAGTAAATTAAATTGAAGACTCCAAATAAAAGTCAAATTGTGCAGAGCTCATAAACTTTGATGCAAAAAGTGAAAAGATTCTGAGCCAACTTCATAAAAGGAATTATTAGGCATGGAGTTTGTTTAATGTTTCAAAACGTCAACAACAACAAAAAATGTCCCACAAGCAATTCAGTTATTTGGAAAAATACATGGACAAGATGGAAAAACCCAATCAACCCAATCAAACATTGGAATTTATCTCTTCAGATGGCTGTGGCTGTTTCTTTTCAAATGTCCATAGTCTTCAGTTTATCTTCTACACTGGGGCAACCTTACTCCAAATGAATAATAAATACAGAAAGCAGTGATGTATATTGCCTTATTATGGTGTCAGATAAGTACAGGGCCTTGAACATCTGGAACACTTTTGACGTCCAGCACCCTGGGCAGACATGAAGATAAGCAGCCCAGTTAATATGGAAGGATCAAAACAAAAGTCTTTGAGAGGTGCTTTAATCTCAAAAAGGCCACCCCTTATTCTTCAGGCAGTCTGAAGGAACACCTCAGTGGTTAAACTAGAGCTGATTCCACATAGGTGCAAAATAGCAAGCCAGTGCTGCCAGTGGTAAAACAACTTCAGCTAAGCTGAAATCCATCAGGTGATTTCACAGCAAGCTGCTAACACCCGTCTGTGGCAAATTGCTGGGTATGGAAATTTGCTCAAGAAATGTATGTCAAGCAGAGATAAATGTCCTTTAAAAAAGAAGAAAAAGGAGTGGAGAATATGTAAACCTTCTTAGTTAATTAGGCACTGAAAGAGTATTTAAGGGCTCTCACTATCTACTAATGGAAGCTAATTAGTAGGTATATTGTTCAGTGTTTTCAAGAAATGTCTTAAGCAAAGGAATCAGGCTAAGTAAAAACTGGCCAAGTCACATTGGCTCCAATAGATTTCATTTGTTACTACTCATCTTGTCTAATTTTCACAGATTTATGATTTCATGGCAGTTAAGCTCTTATAGAGGAGCTTGCTGAGGCTCCTCTATGTTACAAATGGTTTCCCTTGCAAAAGGAAAACAGAAACATTTTTTCACAAATAGACCCTCCGTTTTTTCAGTTTGGTTTTGTTTCCTGCGATGTTAGAGTGCATTAGAAGCAGTGGTGAGAACAGGAAAGCAGATCATGTACTTCCATTATCACTAATGCATCTGCTGAAAATGTTTGATGTTTAGGGCCAGGGGCATTGCTTCCAACTTCAGGTTGTGCTTAAATGTGCGAGTCTCTGACTTGAAGGGTTTTTCCTCCTGGCATCAACACTGATTGCATCAAAATACCCAATTCAAAGGCAAGTTGTGAGCTTAAAAACGGTTACTATAGTTTGAATATTTAGCTGGTTGTTAGATTCTAAAAGAATTATGTTTCTTTTCAGAAGATATAACTTCACATCAGTTTGCTCTGTTGCATTTTAACAAAACAGATGTTAACATCAAGAAAAGTTTGAAAGAGAAGCAGTATCAAAAACATACCATCATTTGTTCAGTGGAATGGGTAGCACATAAAATTCAGATACATATAACATGAGATAGTTTTTGAAGACCACGAGACATTAATTGGGACTACACATTATGAACTGTAATAGTCATGTCAATTAGCAGTCACTACTTTATATGCTGTCTACAAAAATGCAATGAACAGGGACACCTACAGCTAGATCAGGTGCTCAGATCCCCATCCAGCCTCACCTTGAGCGACCTTGAGGATGAGGCATCCACCACCTCTCTGGGCAGCCTGTTTCAGTGCCTCACTACCCTTATTATAAAAAGCTTCTTCTTTATATCCAGTCTAAGTCTCCCCTCTTTTATTTTGAAACCATTTCCCCTTATCCTATCACAACAGACCCTGCTAAAAAGAGTCTATCCCTCTTCTTATGGCTCCCATTTAGATAATGAAAGACTGCTATCCGGTGTCTCTGGGGCCTTCTGTTCTCGAGGCTGAACAGCCTCAGCAGTCTCATCCTTTCCTCACAGAAGAGGTGTTCCATCCATTGGATCATTTTTGTGGCCCTCTTCTGGACGTAATCCCAGCTCTGTGTCTCTCTTGTACAGAGGACTGCATGAGGACACAGAATTCCAGATGAGATCCCACCACTGCAGGGTAAAGGGGCAGGATCACCTCCTTTGCCCTGCTGGCCACATTTCTTTTAATGCAGCCCAGGATAAGGTTGGCTTTCTGGGCTGGTGAATGTACATTCCACTGAAAAGTAGAATGAAAGTGAAAAGTGAAAAGTACATTCACTGGAATGTACTTAAACCAAAGGCATTGTAGTAACAACAAAATCTTTCTGAAAAATAATCTGTGGTCTGTTTAAGTATTTTAAACTAGCTCACTGGAAGATCACATAGTCATAGAATGGCTGAGGTTGAAGGCACCTCTGAAGGCCATCTGGCCCAATCCCTGATCCAGCAGGGCCACCTAGAGCAGGGTGCTCAGAGTCCAGGTGGTTCCTGGAGATCTCCAAGGAGAGGTTCCTATCACCTCTGGGCAGCCTGTGCCAGTGTTCCATTATCTGCAGAGCACAGAAGTGCTGCCTGGTATTCAGAGAGAGCCTCCTGTGTTCCAGTTTGTGCCCACCACCTCTTGCCTTGGCACTGGTCACCACTGGGAAGAGACTGGCTCAGTCGTCGCTGCATCCTCCCTTCAAGTATTTATAGACAATTATGAGATCCCTCTAAGCTTCCTCTTTCTGCCTGCCTCAATATATGTGTAGAGAATACAATATTTTTGAAGAAAAATCATGTATTGCTAAAAGTTGAAAAATAATCTATTTCTTTACATCATCCCCAACCACAAGATTTGGACTGAATATTGCTGAAATACCGGTAACTCAGAAACATCAGCCATGCCACTGCAAAACTAAGGAGGGATCAGAGTTAGACTCCTTCCTGCTGGAGAGCATTTTCTTACATAAAGTTTATGCTGCTTGTGGAGGACAACAGGGAGAA